TCAAAAGATAGTTTCTCTAGTGCAGTAGTTCTCAACCAGGAATATTTTGGTCCCCCAGGGCATAGTTGGTAATTTCTCCAGACTTTCTTGGCTATGACAACTGAGAGTGGGGGGTGGGAGAGGGTTCTACTGACATCTAGTGGGTAGAGGCCAGGAATGCTGCTAAATGGCCTACACAGCCTGGGACAGCTCCTCTGCTTCAGCCTCTCTCGGAATAGAGCACTTCGTGGTCCAAAACACCAGTGGTGCTGAGGTTGACAGACCCTATTCTCAAGTTGTTAAGGATTTATACAGTGTAAAATAAGGCTACTTTCTTGGGGGATTCAGGCTGAAAAGAAATAAATATTTAATATTAAAGAATACTTTAAAACAGACTTAACTATACCCCCACCAAATTCTGCCCAAATGAATGTCAATTTTTTTTTAAATTGCCTTATGATATACATACGAACTTGTATTCTCATTTTTGCTTTGTCATTTTCGTAGTCTTTATATCACTTTAATAGAGAACATTCCATTGTTTACATGCACAAAAATCGATATGCCATCCCCTCTTTATTTCTTGCCTTCATTTTTTAAAAAGTAATTTGGGTAAAAACCATACTTCAGTTGGAAATCTGCCTTTGAAGACCTGGCCAAGGGTTACTCTCAAATGATTTGTACAACAAAAACTGGTTTTCAAGAAAGACATACTTTCTGAACATTTTAGAAATTGTTCCAATGTAAATATTTGCCTACAAGAAACCATTACTACTTTGGAGAAGCAGTCACTATTTACATGTTCTTTAAATCTGTAGAAGAGTACTCTGGCCTCGCTCCGTGACAGCCTCACAGGGTGAAAGCCCTGCTCCAGCACAGCCGGACCTTGCAGCATCTTGTCCAGCAAGCAGCTGGTCTGGGCTGTGAAAGCCTGCCAAGACGAGAGAACCATCCTGTTCAATAAAATCAGGGTGCAGAGGATGGCGGGTGAGAAGGAAGCAAGGGAAAGAGGATGAGAAAAAGAATTAAGATGTGCCCTGTTCATGTACCAGCTCCCCGTGAGGGATGTGATCATTATGTACTGCACTAATTCAATTTTTTTTCAACAGGATGCAGAAGGGGAAACCCTAACAGTCATAATGATGAAAGTAACTACAACCACTTTTTAATATGATGAGTGTGAAAATATTTGTATTTTAACATATGTATATGACATCTGTTGGAATTGCTTAATGGTCTATCTAGTCCTGCCTGAGATTCTCAATGTACCCCATACTGACTGAGATCATCCTGATCTTCCAAGTCCAAAAAGTACTATCTGGAACCCTCAATCTATCTGAGGGGTTATATACATTTAAGAAGATGCTTGGGAATTTCAAGTGGGCTTGTGGGTTCAGCTCTTGTTTCTGTGAATTAAGTCAGTTGATGGATCATTTTATCATTGTTTCATTTTCTTTTTCTCCACTGTGCCTGCCCAGAGAACTTATCTTCTACCTCAGCAATGAGGACCTGGCTCAACCCAGACATCCCTAGCTTCACCATTGTCCCACAGTGCTTGTCTGTCATACCCTTTGAATGAAAATAGGGGAAAAGTTATAACAAGCTACACACAGCTTATCTGCGCCTGCCAAGTACAGCTGCTCACCGCAGGCCTTTGGGTGTATAGCAATTCTTCTCAGTTTAGCACCCCCTCTTTCTGTACCTCTCTTACCTTGCTTCTCACCTGCTTCCTCTTTGAAGATCTCCAGTTGTCTGTACTAAGTTACACAGAGCAGGTCAGCTCTCTGAGCTCCCTAGGTCTAAAATCAATTCCAGGTCTCCCTTTTACATCTCAGACACAAACCAAGCAAGGCACAGTGATGCTACTTGGAAGTCTGGGGCAGGAGAATCACAAGTTCAAGGCCAGTTAGGCAACTTAGCAAGATCCTGTCTC